CCCCCCCCACAAAAAAACATTTTAAACTGTAAATGTTTTTGTCCAGGTGTGTGTTTGTATCATCAGCGCTTGTTTTTGTTGATCCATGTCGGGGCAGTCGCCTCCTCATAACTGATTCTGTTAAAATCCAGCATAGATGTTGCTAGCTAAAACAAAACAGGCGCATCTCGGTGCTGGTTTACTAGACAGCGAGAAGGAATGTGCGCACACACAAAGAGGGCCTGAAATTAATAGCTGGCCGCCAGTCAAACACAAGCGCTAAATCAGAAGATATTTTTTTGTAATTTTTTGTTTATTTGAACCAAATCCAAAAAACTTTGAAAAACAGTATTTTGAGATCTGGGAAGATGTGTTTTCAGATTGGGTTGTTGGTTGGCTAAAAAAAAAAAAAAAGTTTCAGAGCCCAAAAAACAGAGTTTAATATCATGCGGCTTCATGATGAACAAGTTTACAGCTCACTGATGTTTTATTTATGTCATGTTACAACCTTGAAACCGTGACCTGTGTATCATTTCTTTTGATATGCTGCTCTGGATCGTTCACCTTGAATTAAACTGATGTCTTTTAAACTACTTTGGCTCCTTTTGGTTTTTCACGGTGGTTTGTGTGGTTTTACTTTATTTTAGCATTACATGTACATCCAACAGCGGTAACAACAACAAAGGCAGGAATTTCTAAATATTCTGAACATTATCAGACATGAAACATGAGTCTTTTTAAGTTTTTGCTTTTGCTGTCTCACAAGTGGGCGCTGCAGGTGCACCGGTCTGAGACATGCTGCCTCTCAGTAGTGACATCTTGTGGCAGCACATTGTTTTGGCAATTGGCATTTTTTTTTTCGGAGCTGTGATCACAGAAAACAAGTCTGACGCTAAGCTTTGAAACATCCATAACTGAACCTACTCAGTCACTCCTGAGTAGGTTCATCGCTTTTGCACATGGTCTCCATTTGTGTGTGATAACTTTCAACTTATGAGCCACACTTTGCTCATAACCTACCAGGGGTGTTTTCACACTTTCCGAAACAGCAATTAAGCCATGAAACCATTTTATATCATATTTCATGATTAAAACAATCAGCCAAGGTATACACGAACCCTATATCTGAATTAAAACTATTTAATGTTAAAAATCCCCAATAACAGCTAAAAAAAATATCCAAGCACCAAACTTTCTCCTTGGTCCCTCCCAGAACCTTTAAGAAGCATTAAAGTTCCTAGATACACATGAACAGGTCTCTCTTGTAAATGAGATTTTTAATCTCAATGAGATTTTTACCTGGATAAATAAAGGATTAATAATAAAATACCCCGGAGAGATAAAGGACAGTGACTGCTACTCCACAAATATATTATTCACACTTTTTGTAGCCACATCATAGTAAATTACATTCATGGACAATACTGTCTCTTTATCTTAATATGGAAATATTTTCCTAAAGTCCTACCTAAATTGGAAATGTGCCCATAACACCATTTGCTAATACAATAATGCTAACTCTAAACGAAACACCTCTGTCAGTACAACAACCAACATCTGGCATCATCAATGATTTTTTTCAAAACTTGCTAATGCTGAGAAATCATATCAGAAGTATATTATTAAGCCTCAGCAGACATCACACACTAGTCACTGTTTATGCTGCACCACTAGAGGGCGCTGCAGCTGCACCAATCTGCGGGTCACTGCTTCTCAGCTGTAGAATGACGTCCTGTGGGAGTCCATTTTTCACCAGTGCTGATTTAATCTATGGATTAAAAAAAGGAAGACCGAGTTAGAGTCACTTTCTCTGCTTAGTGTAAACTACACTCAGGTCCACTGGGTCCTTTTATGCCTCATTATGTGGACAAAATGTCACTATCCGGCACACTGGGAATGCCAATGAGTTAGACTAGGATCTTTAGTGTTTAGAGCAGAGCACAAGAAAACACTCAGAGAAACGTTTAATAGATTTAAGAAAAACATTTATTGAGGCAAGACTTTAAGCAAATTTAGCATTTTTTAATCTATATAATATCAGTCTGGGATTACGATTTTTTTCAGTTTCCCCAAGTACTAAGATTTCAGATGAGATAAGAACAGACTAACCTGATTTAGGAGGGTGTCTTTATCAATCTGAGACAAGCCCACTAAAGAGGAAAGCTTCATTTTCAGACCTGCAACATCTAGAAATACAAAAATTCCACGTTATAGGTCAGAATTGTCTTCTGTCTGTTTAATCAGAGATCACTCAAAACATGAAAAGCAATTTTGCCTAAATCCATTTATAATTTGGTGACAGGCAAACCAGTCATACAGTGTGTTGTAATCTGTCCATGAGTCTCTGCTTTACACAGCTAACATTGCTGCAAGCAGCTGCATTTGACAAAAATCAGGGGATCTTACGTTTAGATAAAACACAATGGTAGATATACAAGGTAAATTTAACACCATAAAAGATTTAATCCAGGAACTTGTCTGGTCATTATTCACACTGTAGGTTAGCTTCCTAGCTAGATGACATAAAAGCCCCTAAAATTTCACCGCTCCTGTATAACATTTGTTACTCCCTAACTTACTTTATATTAACTTCTAGGCTTTGTTTAACAGCTATTAGTTAACTGAAACAAACAAGTCACTGTTGCCCCAAACCTGTCAAGCTGGACTAAATCTCATGAATTACTCACAAACTGGTGTGTTGGCTGGTGTAGGTATTGGTGTTGATAATTCTGTACACAAAGTAAAAGTCAAAATAAAAGCTTGTTAATGAACGATATCAATCCAGTAAATAACTGCGGAGCCGCAGTATAAAGACTAAAGAGCTGCATGCAGCTCCGGACCCGCAGGTTGCCGACCCCTGTGCTAATCGAAAATGACCCCCCAAGTTTCCTCACAGTGTTACTGGAGGCCAAGCTAATGCCATCCAGAGTAAGTATCTAGTTAGATGCCATATTTCTAAGATTTTTAGTCCTAAGTACAATGACCTCAATTTTATCTGAATTTAAAAGTAGGAAATCAGAGGTCATCCAGGTCTGTATGTTGAGAGCTTGCTGACGAGCTGCATTACAGTTTGGTATGGAAGCTCCTCTGCCAGCAGCCGAAAATCACTACAGAGGGTGGCGAAGGCACATCGCAGGCATGAGGCTTCCTTCCACTCAGGACATCTGTCTTATACGGACTACAAGACTCAAAAACAGCTTTTACCATCAAGCCATTCGACACCTCAACCACAACACTTAAACACACACACTCCACAGGATGCACTCAGAATCTGTCCTACAGTTTCTCAAGTACTACACTCTGCACTGGTCACTTCATTTTTATTAGTATTTAAATAAAAATAAAAACCCTTACTCCGTGCAATACTGTGCCAACTGCCACTTTAAATCTGCTACTGCTCAGTTGTACTGCTGCTCACTCCTGCCACTTTATCCCATGTGGAACCATAATTAACCTTTTTGTGTGAAGAAGACTCCCATTTACATCAACTAATTTGAGTATATTAGCTATATAGGATAGAAAATAGTGTGATTAACAATATTGACCACTGCACGTTCTAACAATTCTAGCAGGACAAGCACAGACATGAGTAGCTAGAGATAGCACAGATTACATGGGATTAAAAGTACCTTCTCCCATATTTATTCAGTTAAAGCAGTTGAAACTTCAATATATGTTTTTATGTTTGTTTATAGTATTTTTTTTTTGTGTTTCTTCACAGCTTTTCAATGGATTTGTGATGGTAAAATCATAGGCAAATCTAACTCTAAAAAACTTGAATGTCAGTACTTAGTATGTCCAAATATGAGGACATTCAAAGCTCTTCTTTGCAAGTTGGCTGCATTTTGTTGTCCTCTCTATCAAGGTGATCTCACACTACTTGAATAATGTTGAGATCTAAGATTTAGGGAGGCCAATCCCAGAGTGATTGCGTTCTATTGTGTGTTTTTCTATCCAAGTGCATTTGCTGCATTTTACTGCATTGGCAGTGTATTTGTGATTATTGCTATGCTGAAAAATGAAGCAGTTAGCAATCACATTCTTCCCAGATGGTACTGAAACACGGGGCTGTGGTGTTCAACAGTCAGGTCATTGATTTCAAAATTATGAGCCCAGTCACTCATCCTTTCTCCCAAAAACCCATCACATTTCACAGACCCACTCAAAAACACACTACCAAATGTGCTCAGCACTGACTAAATGATGGGATGAATTAACTTTAAATAGCTGACTTAAATTATTTTTCAAATCCAAAGCTTGTTCCTGCTGAGAAATCACATCAGAATCAAGCCTTGCAGAAATCAAACATGAGTCATTGATTTGATGTTTATGTTGTGTCACTGGAGGGTGTTGCAGTTGCACCAATCTGTGGTTCATGGTTTCCCAGCTGTAGTGATGTCTTGCTAGAGTCTACAAATGAGTATTAGGAACCTCTATGTCTCCCGCTGTGTGTTTAGTGATGTGAGTTATTGTGCTTTGCTCCGACTTCTTGTGTTCCATGTTTACCTCATCCCGTCATGTGCTCCTCTCGGCTGATTCTGTGTGTTATGTTTAAGGTTCGCGTCTTGAGTCAGTATTTTCAGCTTCATGTCCTCCCTGTCTTGTTATGTGTAATCGTTCCCTGTGTCCTTATGTCCTTCGTTAGCCTTCTGTGTATTTATGTCAGAGTCTCCCTTAGTTCCGTGTCGCTTCGTCCATTGTCTTTCACTGTGTGTTCTATCTGCCTGTTAGTCTCGTGTCCGGTTTAGCCAGTTTTCTGTTTTGCCTGCAACCAGTAATAAAGCTGAGCATCTACAAGTTCACTTTGCCTCCGTGTGTCCTGCTCTTGGGTCCAGCATTTCTGCCTGCCCTTGCACAGCGATGACATTTAAGGCTTATTTTAAAGAGATTCACAGATTTAAGATTTAACAAATGCCAAGTGTAATTATTTTTATTAGTCAAAATGTTAATTTACAAATCTTAATATAGCGGCTCTGTGGGCACTAGTGACCTAA